GTAAAGGATGGTGGGAGCGACTGCATGCACACCTCCTCATACGACGCCAGGCGGGTAACTAAGGTGCACTTCAAGCAGACACTCTATTTAAAGTGCTCGCAGCGAATTTCCTCCCAGTCTATTTGTTAAAGAACTACCCCACCCCCCTCCCTTTCATGATCTGTCGTGAACGCATAAATCAACGTACAGAGATGGTTTTGGTACCGTTAGATAGGTCAGAATGTCAGCTTTAAGATGAGACTAAAAACCGGAAAAGCCGAAATCCAAAATTTTACCCTAGACGCTCCCCTTAAGGGATGTGGGTCGAGCGAGACATGATTTTCAGAAGACATGACCGAGCGAGGATCAAGATTGTGAGGATTTAGAACTTAACAAGAGATCGCCATAGGGGGTAAGTCACGACGGGAGGCTACTACCCGTTCAGTTTAATGATTTGTTGTTTTAAAAGAGGCAACCTTCGCACTGGTAACCTATTTCAAAGAGACTAAGCAGAATTAGGAACCCGAGACTTTTGTGTGTTAGTTCAATGATGTGTTGTTTGGAATTATTAAACTTCGCACTATTATAGCCTCATTCAGGGAGATATGCGTTAGATTCAAATCCAGCCGATGAATTGTTTGTGCTAAAAATAATCTAATCTCTAAATAATCATTTTAAATAAATTATAATATCAACTATTTGCTTCTAGAATCTTTAAAATAATCATAATCCGTGTGTTCATAATCATAAATAATTTAGATTTGACCACTTGGCCACATTTATTATTGAGTGCTCTTTGAATCAACCCATAGCGATGTTGCAGACATTCAGCCAAGCGCAGTAACAATGGGCATTAACAAGCTACTGCATCGATTTCGAGACGCGCCCACGTGAGAGATCAAACCACGTGTACATGTTCGATCCTGATCAAACCACGTGCGCGTGCGATTGCGCGCGAGTCAAGCGCTAACGCGATACAGTAAATTAATTCGCTGAGCTCAATGCATAAAAACAAGGGCTAAGTCCAGCGCCACTGCTAACTGTACGTCAAGTAGCTGCGACCGCGTGAAAAGAGTCGCGATGCGCGCGAGTCTCGTGCAAAAACGTGGCCAGACATGCACCTCTTATGCGCTTCAATAACAATCGATTTTGGATGCATGCATCGAAGTTCTTGCTGCCACCAACGAAGATCTTCTGCGACACATTTTTTATCATTAATTTGATGCAACGAACTCAGGGTGAAATTTTTGGTTGTTTTTAGAAAGCGTTTAGCGAGAATTTTGAAAAATATTTGGCTGGAAACATTTTTGTACGCTAACTAAATGGATCAACGAAGCATGGTTGATACTGACACTGGAAGGTAAAACTTCCAAAACGTGATATGATAAATTGGGTGATTTTGATCGGGAAAATTCACAAGTCTGTACAATTTTATGCAGATTTTCCTGATGTCTATCCGTTGCGTACATGCGAAAGAAATTTTCCAATTATAAAAATTTGAACTGTTAGTTACAATTTCTACGTCGAGTCACGAAAACTAAAGGACTCTTTCGTTTTGATGAGTTTATATGAGGTTTTAATTCGAGTGTTTCCCAAATTAAACGATTTTGTCAAGAAATGTCTTTTTATTATATGGATTGCTGTTCATGCAAGAACAAAAATAATGTTGAGACATTAACGAGAGAATTCAAATATACGCAAATCGGAAGGGGAATGTTCATGCAAATGTTAGGTGCATGCAAACATTCATGTCGCATATGATAAAACTCTGAAAAAGTAACCGCCTCGAGAATATGGATGTGAATTAACAGAAAATTGGCCTAAAGAAAAAATACATTTCTTGCATGCTCGAACAAATAATAATGGGGTGCCATGATTCATTTCATAATTACATTCAGAAGCAGACCAATTTAAGTACTTTCATGCATTTTCTAAAAATTTATGAAGTGTAAATGGAAGCTGATAGCCGAAGTAAATCATAGCTGTCGACGCTCATTAGAAGCGAGCGCTCTGTTAAACAAAACTGTGAACTTATTGAGCAACTTATTTCATTGAACATAAAAAATACTCTCTAAACTAAATAATAGATTACTTTCGATGGTCTTCATGCAGATGAAGATCAGGTTCGCCGTCATGACCCAGTCAGCAGAGAGAAAATCTCAATTTTAATCTACGAGGGCACACTTGCTGATCGGTACGATGCATACGAATTTTCGAGTTTCCTAATTAAGTAGCTATTAAAAATAATTTTCTTTAAAAGAAAACATTTTAAAATAATGTCGGTGAAATTTGGAAAAAAAATATATTTTAGTTCACGCTAATGATAGGTAAATTATGGTTAAATATCCTGTCTCACAAAGATCATGGGCATGTTTATTGAAATCTCGACGAAAAATCAGTCGATGCAACACCCAAATTGCACCCTTACCATAACAGAATAGTTATGGTATAGACATTCAAGTCTTTTAGAATACCTTCTTTCAATTATATCTGTCACTTGTGGAGGACGAAGACTGTGAGTTATTTTTGCCTATCATGTGTCTGAGAACCAAGGTCTGACAGTGTGACGGGAAAGAATTTCATAGTTAAAATATCACGAATGTTTTTAAATTTGTCTCCACTTATCACATACGCAGAAATTACGGTTTTCAAACAAAAGCTGGCTATTAAAAGGAGAATCTGCAGCCGTACCTAATAATAAATCAAAGAAATGTACATAAACACTTATTCAATCAGAGTTGCGTAAAACGATAATTTTTCATGGAATATGCAGTCATTGCTGCAATGAATCGTTTTCATTGATTGTGAGTGAAAACGACTTTGAAGCATACACTATGCCAGACATGAAACGAAGCCGTTCCAAATCTATTTTGAATTCGCCCTTGTACTATTGCAATGGAACACTTGTTTACATAAGCCAATGCAATTACTACATACAAACTAAGAAATTTACACATGATAAGATATTTACACAAACCAAGACATTTACACAAACCGAAACATTTACACAAACCGAAATATTTACACATAATAAGACATTTACATAAATTATGACATATGTATATACAAACTAAGACATTGCACAAACATAGGCATTTACACAAACTAAGACATTTACAAAAACTAAGACATTTACACAAACTAAGACATTTACACAAAACAAAACATTTACACAAAATAAATCCATTTACACAAACTAAGACATTTACACAAACCAAGACATTTACACAAACCAAGACATTTACACAAACCTAGACATTTACACAAACTAAGACGTTAACACAAACTAAGACATTTACACAAACTAAGAAATTTACACAAACTAAGACATTTACACAAACTAAGAAATTTACACAAACTAAGACATTTACACGAACTAAGACATTTACACACGAACTAAGACATTTACACACGAACTAAGACATTTACACAAATTAAGACACTAACACAAACTAAGACATTTACACTAAGACACTTACACAAAATAAGACATATACACAAACTAAGACAGTTACACGTACTAAAACATTTGCACAAACTAAGACAATTGAACAATCTAAGACATTCACTCAAACTGAAACATTTACACAAACTAAGACATTTACACACACCAAGACATTTTTTCCAATAAGTTAAGGGATAGAAAAGCGAGAAATTATGTTTCGCCTATTGTGTTCATTACATTTTAATAACATGAAATTACTTTCGTTAACTGTCAAATTAATGTTTAAACGCGGTCCGAATTAAGCTATTTCGCAATTGCATCTCGAGTTTAAGCCGGATATCAGGCATACAAAATTGGTTACGGAAGTTAATAGATAGGCTGGATAATAATATTTATATACATGGCAATTGCAGTGCCAGTGTGTATCGTATATACAGAGGTGGGCAGTAGCGCGCTACATTTAAGCAATTTAGCGGTAGCGCCCGCTACATATTTAAGTAGCGATACGAGGTTTTGCAGCTACAGCGCAACCGCTACATTTACAGATAAAGCCTTTCGATTTTACTTGATAGTATTAAATATTATTTAAAAACCAGCATGATACATACATAATATAAATTACAGAATAAAACTGTACGAAAGATTTCGGTGTAATGGTGTCAACCTCTGCCTGTTACTAGTGTCAACATGTTAGTTGTTACCAGAGGTGAGCTGTAGGGCGCTACATGTAGCGGCCGCTATTAGCGGCCACTACATTTTCAGTAGCGGTAGCTGTAGCGGCGCTACATTCAAGCAATTGTAGCGATAGCGGTAGAGGCCGCTACATTTCAAAGTAGCGCTGCCCAGCTCTGCGTATATAATCTAAGAATTAACGGTAAATTTATTGCAAAGCTTTAGTATAAGGTAAAGTTATAATAATAATAAGCTATAGTTAAATAATAATAATAATCTATAAGTTAATAATGATAATAATTAAGTTTATTTCCTACTATTTAATAAACTGTTTAATAAATTGCAATTTAGGAAATAACAACAGACACGGCAAAATAGCACTAGCCCGCCAGGTTATTGAATTAATTTGTAAAAAAGTGAGTTCACTTCGAGTACAATTAAGGCCAATAAAGATTCAGGAACTAAGGAAGTACAAATGTACGTCATCAGTTATTACTTTTCAGTGTAACGTGCGTAAATATTATCTCTAGTTGATAAGACGGAGGTAGTCGATAGCTTGTCAGGAGGATTAATATGTTCGATTACAGTGGGAAATACATTGTGTCTAGTTTCCGTGAAAATCAAATTTCACCGATAAGCGTGTGTGTTTTTTCAAATGCCAAATAATTTATCGTCACTGATAGTCGTAATCCACGCGCTGAGAAATCTTACGCTCCTCACAGGCAGGAAATTGTCATATCAATGGCTAAATATAGACATAATCTATCTACAAGGATTTAGAGGCACGTTTTCAACTCTTATCAGTAATCTTCGGTGTTATTCAGCTTAAAAGTACGTAGCACATATCAAGACTTATATCAACGTTCGGCGATCTTAACACGGTCAGTTGCGGTTGAATTCCGTATAGGAATGTCGTGTTGAAAATCTTCATAAGCAATACGAGTACAGTCTAAATTAGTGTAAGTTCTTAAAAAATTCAAAAGGGTATTTGTTGCTAGTTATTTAAATTAAAGTTCATATTAATTAATATTATTAATTAAGAATATTATTAATATATATTAATTATTATTTCATTATTATAAGTTCAAGTATCATTGATACACGACGCGACCGCAGACATATGACAGTTCAAGTATCATTGATACACGACGTGACCGCAGACATATGACAGTTCAAGTATCATTGATACACGACACGACCGCAGACATATGACAAGTTCAAGTATCATTGATACACGACACGACCGCAGACATATGACAAGTTCAAGTATCATTGATACGCGACGCGACCGCAGGCATATGACAGTTCAAGTATCATTGATACACGAAAACCGCAGACATATGACAAGTTCAAGTATCATTGATGCACGACGCGACCGCAGACATATGACAAGTTCAAGTATCATTGATACACGACGCGACCGCAGAAATATGACAAGTAATTTTTTCGTGAAGTTTGCGTCCATGTTGTTGGCACGCTTCAAATGATCTTATAGTTACTTCAAAATATAATTTTATTATTTTGCACGGTGAAGAACTTTTAAAAATTAATATTTTGTAGAGAATTAGTTTGTACCAAAATTGTTACTCGTTACTCAAATTGTTACTCATCACCCAAATTGTTATTCATTACCCAAATTGTTACTCATTCCCAAATTCTTACTCATTACCCAAATTGTTATTCATAATCCAAATTTTGCTAATTACCCAAATTATTATTGATCACCTAAATTGTTATAATTGGAGAGTTATAATTAAATGCTTTGTTTTCTTGAATTCCAGAGATTGGTTCTTATTAACGATTATCGTTTTCTGGACAATAGTTGATAAAATTTACTCTTTGGTCCCAAACGCAACTTGTATTAATATATTTATGCATATTTTTCAGAAAACTTATACATCGACCAGGATGGCAAAGAAGAAATGTTTCACCGTTTCTATCCTGGTTACATTCGCCTGGATGGCAGTCGCCGCAGCCAGTAAGTTGTCAGGCTCTTCGCAATTTTGCCAATATTATTCATATTAATTACAATCCCATACTTCTACATCAATACATTTCTGTAAATAGCTGGAAAGTATCAGCAAACAGTTCTCAAAAGCGTCAATAAGAGAAATTTCAGTACATTTCTTAAATTAGTGAACATTAAAATATTGTTAACAAAACAACATCATTGAAGTATTATTCAGGAAAATGTTCTTGCATCGAAAGCTGCTTAACCGAAGATAGCTATGCATGTAGTAAAATATCAGGGAACAAACATCATAATCTCCGTGCATTCTTATATCAATCAACCACTCGTCAGCATTATGGCACATTGATCATGCCATACGCATTATGGCACATTGATCATGCCATACGCATTATGGCACATTGATCATGCCATACGCATTATGGCACATTGATCATGCCATACGCATTATGGCACATTGATCATGCCATACGCATTATGGCACATTGATCATGCCGTACGCATTTAAAAACATTACACACTCTGCAGGCAGCATTGACCCATCGACAAGCAAGGTGTGTCGCAGCGCTCAGCGCGCCCAGGAGCTTATAGAGGCGTACGCTAAGAACTGGGTGAGCATATCCTTCTTTTAGAGGCGTACGCTAAGAACTGGGTGAGTATATCCTTCTTTTAGAGGCGTACGCTAAGAACTGGGTGAGCATATCCTTCTTATAGAGGCGTACGCTAAGAACTGGGTGAGTATATCCATCTTTTAGTGGCGTATGCTATGAACTGGGTGAGCATATCCTTTTAGAGGCGTACTCTAAGAACTGGGTGAGTATATCCTTCTTTTAGAGGCGTACGCTAAGAACTGGGTGAGTATATCCTTTTAGAGGCGTACGCTAAGAACTGGGTGAGCATATCCCTCTTTTAGATGCGTACGCTAAGAATTGGGTGAGCATATCCTTTTAGTGGCGTACGCTATGAACTGGGTGAGCATATCCTTTTAGAGGCGTACGCTAAGAACTGGGTGAGCATATCCTTCTTTTAGAGGCGTACGCTAAGAACTGGGTGAGCATATCCTTCTTTTAGAGGCGTACGCTAAGGACTGAGTGAGCATATCCTTCTACTTAAGCTCGTTTCCGTACCAATAGTTGCTAGAAATCCTTACGTCCTCAGGCGCTGAAACAAACCCCGTTTTAATGCGAAATCTCTCAATGCCGGTTTTTGATCCCATAATTTTATGTGTGAAGACTAAGAAATCTGATGTTTCTTCAAATAAGAGCTACTGTCGTTCCCTTATACTGTCAGTGTTGAGTTTATATAAAAATTGTTGAATATACGGAAAATAAAGATTTATTTCCAAAATGTTGAATGTCATTCACTGCATTTGAATGCACGTCTTTAATTTCAACATTTTGCCTGATCAAACGAATATAATTAATTCTATCACAATTCTTATGCCGTTTACGTTAAAAAAATTTTGCAGTAATATGATTTGATCAGTAATATAATTTGATTTATCTAATTCTGTTTTGAAATATATTCTTTCTATTCAGTATGCCAAAAGATTGTGTCACCTCAGGATTCGTTGCAGCATTTTCCAATTTTGATAATTGGCAATAAAAATATCCTTTATTTAAGATACAAAGAAACAGTTCAGCTTATGTCCCGTATTCATTGCCATATGTGCACATATTTAGGGAAGGGTTTCAGTTAAGCTATAAACATATATTATGAACAGTTTAACTTATGTTCTGTACTCGCAGACATTACAAAAACTGAACTTGAAATGGACGGACTCCTGGAACGAGTACGGCAACTATCCACTGCGCGATCGCTTACGTTACCTACAGCGCTTCACGTGGTATCCCTCAAGACGCATCAGTAAGTCTTCCCTCGTACAAGCCTTTGAATTGGCCCTCGGATACGAAACCGCCCTCACGAACCTTCAGCTCGACGCACATCTTCACGCTAAGCCCGCCGACGACGATGCTCAACACCTGAAAAACCTTGAACAAATTGAGAAAATGTTGATAAGTTTAGCGAATTCAATTAAGGGTCATAAATTGATAAGAAAATGCTCACGTGATCTGAATTTTTCGTCACAATCAGCGTCGAATTTCTGGGACTACGTCCCTGTAGATACGCCCTATGCGCAAGATGTAAAAGCCTTCATCACTTTTCATGAAATTGTTGCTGGTTTGGACGAGTTTCAAAATATTTTCAGCTGCGCCAAGATCAGGCGAAATCTTAGCTAATGATGAATGATCCGTTGGGAAAAACATTAAAAAAAGGCGTTAGTGGTCATTGCACGCTAATCCATCTTTAGACTAGCGTAAATATTATTTGTTCGTAAATAACATTTTTCAATATACTGACATGCATGTGAATATTTATAACCGTGATCATTATATCAGAAAACATATAAAGTATCAGAATATCACTTCAGTAACCATTGCGTTAACCTTCACCAATACACCCTTGATTTCAAATGATCGTTATAATAAAACGTATAGACGAGAATAAGCTTGCTTGGCACCTTCTCCATACCCGCTTTGGTTTGTCTGGAGTCTCTGGACTGGCCGAGTCGGTAGTCAAGTCTCGACCGCCGTGGAGACTGCAGCTGCAGGCCTGACAGTCCTCGGGTGACTGTCCAGGGACTGCAGGTGCAGAGTGAAAGCGTTACAATTTGATCAAATGTTAGTCAAGGAAAACTGTCTAATTATGGGGTATTGACTGTGAGTAAAACGCACATTGTGACAATCTTCAAAGTAAAAAGGTATCGAAAACTATTTAAATACACTGTGCCACCATTAGTATAATAATATCTATTGAAAAATTGAATCCCTTACTGACAAAATCGATCTTGAGAATAGCAGGTTAGCATTTTCAAACGTGAGCCCTCGCAACAAATTTTCATTTGGGTTATAATTGGAGTCATAAATTTGAAACTCGTATAAGAATTGCCACTTTCCCTTTCTTGTTTTGCGGTCAGCGATGTAATGATGACTAAGGTGACGTCCAATAAACATGATACGAGTTGCTGTAGTAACATAGCATTTCCAAATGTATGTGTGGCATCCGATCTACATTCAATGGTGCACGTTTGGTCGGTCATAGATAAAAGAAAATATCGGTAGGAAATTTTTAATAGCTTCCTGAATGCATTTACAATTGATGAGTTTTCTAATGTCATAAGGAATTCATTATCCGATTAATTATTCATCTACGTGCAGATAAATTTAGTAAACAATTTTAAACGAATATCACGCTTTCATTTTCATTATATCAGGGGTTGACCGGGAATAATAAAAATTCAATTGATTAACAAAACTTGACGAGCTAATACAATCCTACACGGCGGAGATGAATGAAGTCGGTCTACTCTAGGCCTTTGGGTTATCATTTATTAGGTTATGTTTACGAAGACGACAAACTCCGCGCTTTAGTAAACTCTTAAGTATTTTGTTTTCTTTCTTCCATCCCTCATTCCTTCAGTTCGTTGGTCAGTATGGAATCATAAGAACACAGTGCAATTATTTATAATTATAAATGTACGTTTACCTCAGTTTTTCATCAGTTGCTGTGCGGGAAATCAAACAGTAGAAGTCATTCTCAACTAAACCGGAATTTGTTGATGTTACTTCTGGATGAAAAATATGGGTGAATTCTGTTTGGAAGCGTTGTTTTAAAAGTTAGCGTGCATCACCAGAGAAATTCGAAATTTCAAGAAAACGTCATCAATTTTTCAATATCAGTTCCATTTTGCAGGTTGATGAACCCGTTTGCCGAGTAGAAATTTTGTGATCAAACGTAGGCGATTGAACAAATCGAAAACGACAATTTCGCTCCGGTGCTTATTTCATTTTATTAGAACTAAAGTAAGATGTCGTTCGTATACCACAAGAAGCGGTACCACCCGGTTAAACTAACCACCGAGTACCACAGCAAGGACCAGTCCTCCAATTACGATACCATCCTGCTGCCGCTGGACGAGGCTCAAACCCCAGCCTGCTGCTGCGTGCGCCAGCGCAACTCTTGGTGAGATTTAATTATTGTAAATTATTAATTTATTAATGAATTATTGAAAATTTTGACGAGTTTTTCTCCGTTAGATCAAAATTTCATGGAGTTATTTGTGTTCAAAAGACGTTAAGGAAGTCAAATATAGCAAGTAGCTGAGTACGCAGATAACGAGGCAGAAAAATTTACCCGTTCACGCTGTGAACTTCACTTGTCAGGTTGTTGGTAAGAAGAGTAAAATACAGTTGGATGACGCGCCAAATAAATTAGATATAGTTTAAAATTTTCCCCAATTAACTTAATCTTAAGTTATTACAGAATAATTTTTAAAAATGCTGCTTTGGCGTAATCCATAACCTAAATGGAAGTTAAACTCAAACAAACCCCAATTCCATAAATATATCGCGCACAAACATTTGATGAAAATGAATAAAATAAAAAAATGAAGATAATGACCGCAGATTAAATATTATTTAGAAACGCAACGTTCGGTGAATTCAAGTTATGAATACAATCATGAATTTTCATTTCCAATATAATATTATAAATAATATTTCTTCAACAAAACTTCCCGAACGGGTAAAATATTTATTGTTACATTGCTTGAGTCATCTGTACGTCCAGGCAGTTTCTTAATTTCCGTGCTAAAAAAACAAACACGCGAATTTCTTTCAGGCGCTGCTCACTTCTTGACTCTGGTTAGTTAAGTTGAAACCGAGCGATATCATTGAGCGCGCTGCATGTTGACGCGGCCATGACGAGATAATTAGCCAGCAAACCTCGTTAGATCATTACGTGTTCAACGTTTTTATTGCCTGTGACACGTCGGCTCAGGAACGCTACCATGAAAAGGACAAAACTAGCTGAATAATTAATGTAGGTTCAGCAACGGCAAGGCAGATTTGGAGCCTAATTATACAAACATTAGGAGGCGCGTCACTGGCTCGACTTCTGCTGCTCCAGAACTGACAGTGGAAGACGCATTCACATAATAGTAACTTGCAGTCACGCTTTCGCTGCAGTGGCCACCGAAAAACCAACCGTAATCTACAAGAAGATGTAAAGATTGTTTCAATTCGCAACATAATATGTTAAGTAAAGATCAATAAGCAGAAGAAAGAAAATTTATTAGATTTAATCTAAGGGTCCACTTCTAGACTCTTCGTAGGTAAGACTCAATAATCAAGATAGGCCTTAGTCCAGACTGCAAAGATTACAGGCCAGGGCATCCGAAATATAAAGACGAAAATACGAAAGAATAAATCTTCAATATTTTGGTCGGGACGGGCAAGGTCAGGGAAATGTCGGGACCAGAGCAGACAGCTCAGCAACGGGCATAGTTTATACTGTTGAAAATATTAATTGGGCTTAGCATATGCAGAGCTGGCGTCCACTGTCTCGATAAATGCAATAATATAGGCATTAAAAGCGAGTATGAAGCAATGCATATAAATATTAGTCATACACCTAAATCTATTTGGAGTCAGTGTGTAACCCAGGTCACGACTGTTAGGCTATGATTCAAGAAACGAATCTAACAAAAGAGGAGTTTAAGTAGGAGGAAGGCTCATCCTAATTTAATGACCGGCAGGACAGTAGCAGGTTCATGTGCTAGGAGAAGATTTAGAGGAAAAATGAAATCTAAACCTCCATTTTCCTATACTAGAACCCACAAACCCCAAGTTAATTTACATCCACCTTAAACATCCCTAATGGAGGTTATGCCCAAACGTAAACTATGGTGGGCCTTCGATAAATCGTACCTTGTTAATACGTGAGGAATGAATAATTTAGTAAATAATCAGTCCTGTTCGAATCGCATGCACATAAAATAATAAGATAATAGAATAATAGTCTTAGCAAGAACTATGAGCCTGCCGTCGCTGAAGATGCGAGGGCCAAGCGTCAGGTCGCAGGTAAAATATCTAAGCTAAATTAGAGGTGCGCTACCTTGTCACCTGGCAGCAAGTGAAGGCAGCAATGCGTTGAAGTGGTAATTTCTTACAAAGATTCACGACACAGAATAAGTGATGTTAGATAATAATCAGAACACAATCACACCTGACCGATAACGATCCTAATGACAGAATAATATTTTAAGATCCTAAATTACGGGGAGCTATATAAGCGATGTGAAGCTAAATGGGAATAACAAGAGCGAGCGATCAAGAGACTGAGAAAAAAAATTTACGGGGCAAACATCAATTCATTCACCAGAATAATTTTGTGACAAACAGTCAATTCGTACATCTGTCGAAGGTGCACCCGCGCTCTCTGACAATCTATACGTAGCAAATAGAACCGACAAATTTAATTAATTTTGATAAAAGCCGATATTGGTGAGGCGATTTGCGTACGATTCTAATGAAATGTGACCCTCAATAAATTTAATGCGGCTGACTGGGCTGCCTGGCGACCAATTATATATTGGCGACAAATGACGGGTTCGATCAAGCCTTCGATACGTTAGAAGAAAAAATTATACAATTTTTACAAATTTTAAAATAGAATGACAAACATTTTGTTGCGGTGTCTAAGAAGTAGAAAGGAAAAATAAACAGGTTAACATCGATAACTGTTATCTCTTATCGGATATCCTAGTATTAATCTTTCATTCAGTAGTGTTGATTTTCTTAAATATGCTGTGTACTGATAAATTGAAATTCTGCCCTAACAGATACTCGAAAACTTATTTTTAATCAATAAATGTTACATGCAAGTCTATATGGACGATTTAAAAATCACTACTATAGCTGTTCAAAGAGCCGAACGGTCTGGAGGCTTTTAAAAGATTTGTTGGCATTAATGTCGAGTACTTTATGGAAGGCAATTCTAAACCGCTTGCTTAATTTTTATGAAAGTAACTTTAAAATTCGTTTCGCTGTATTTTTTCATGTGAGGTTAATGCTCAAATGAAATATATTTTCCATTTTGGATCAAGAAGTTTGGATGCAAAATTTATGATTCAAAATTTTCACCTCAAAAATATGATTTTGTGGTAATTATAATGGAAGAAAATGTAGAGGGAAATTCCGCTAACTTCTGTGTAATTTACGCTAGTCAAACACGCAAAACTCCAAACAAAAATAAGCAACCAAAAGAAAATTCATAATAAATGATAGAAACAAGCAGGAAAATCCAATAAAGAGAAATCGGCCTACAAACAGTTTTAAACCGTTTTTTCTGCTTGACTCTCCACAAATGTACTCAACAACATACTAATGTACTCAGCGTCATACTAATGTACTCAACGACATACTAATGTACTCAACGACATACTAATGAGAAAATGTAGCGGCCGCTACATGTAGCGCGCTACTGCCCACCTCTGCATTTATATAATAACTTGAGACGTATCCTTTTACTATTCTGATTGGAGCTCGGCAATTGAAATGATTTTTGCTACGAATTCATGTTGTGGTTTACTATGGTACTTAATCTTGACAGGCAAATAGGAATGGGAAAACACGTTTTTTTTTAAATTGTGTTCTATGATGGTTTGGAGGAGGCCATACTAGCTGTAGCTGGTGACACCGGCTGACTGGACAGACTTTGATTTGCCTCCAGCTCAATCACAGAAACAGATTCATCGATCTTGCCTTAAGCAATCTCCTTCAACAAAAAGTCTGGAAAAAAATATCAACAACATTTTAAAATGCAACAAAATTTAAGTTGGAAAAAATATAATATTTTGATCTTCAAAAAAGAACTCGAAATATCCATGTGCATCCTTTCTAAATAACGTTAAACAAGCCCAAGTGTTTGATAACAATTCAGGAAACTGCTCAATTGTGAAGATTTCTTTCCTGGGGGCGTAGCACAAAATTTTACTAAAGGCAGCGATAATCTAAAACTAGCTTTAGTATTATTAGGAATATCTTACCAGGACTCCACTCCACTGTCTACTAATTGGCCTAGTAATTTAGACATTGAGTCATTGAGTATCTACTCCCTATGCGCTCCATGGCACCTGAACTCGTTCCGAACGCATAATGAACTCGACTCATATTCGTACGGTTCCCATAAGTGCCATCGAAGCCTTAGTTTAGACATAATTAAGAGTAACATTTTTGACTCAATACTCAGCCATACATCGACAGTTTTGCGGTGTTTGTCGGACCACTAATTAACTGCCATGTCAGTTAGTCAGACAAATTTTGCTAAATCTGCAACTAACTCAATTTAACTGGTAACTGTCTGTGGCCCTATTAGTAGCAATAAAGGGCTAACTTGTCATTCTTCAACACATGTTTTCGAAATGATTCGTATCGTAATCGAAAAACTTGTTTTGTCTTAAATAATTAAGACAAATTTCGACTCGTCTCGTTATGTCTCGTTTCAAATCTGTCTGTCTCGTCCCGGTTCATAATTTACCGGGACACAAGTTTTAAAGTCCGGGAAAGAAGTCTTGTCTCGGTTCATACTTTTATTCCGGGACAAAGTTTATCCTCTGTCCCGTTATTTTTTCCCGGAATTTTCCCGTCTCGTTTCGTCTGTCCCGGTTCAATTCGAGAAAATTATTTCGAGACGCAGGAGTCTACGTAATGTCCTCATCGTCATATTCAGCGGCAGTTCTTGCGTACTAATGTACACAGCGGCATTTCCCGTGTATTGCTCAGAGTTATATTGGTTCTTATCCACTTGACAGGTTCGTGCATAGCGACCACGGTTTACTGCCTACAAATTAAACATACAACAAAATTATAAAGAAAAATTATATTATAAATTGTACCGCAGGGTCCTTTGAAGTACATAGTTGATCGGATATAAATTGAATATGAATCATGATATAAAGGAGGAAATTTTATTGATATGTGAATAGTTGATCATAAGACTAGTGGCTAAAAGGCTTGTTCTGGTCAGGCTGCGCCAGCTGCGAGCGGGGCGTCCGTGGGTGTGCGACGCGCGCACAGCCGCTCTCCTCGCAGCCTTCTTCACAATGGTAAAGTATTTCGTGATTAATATTTAATAAAGATGATCATGTGGGTTGATGTTACTTAAATCGTGTTTATGTTTAGATGGTTTGAATAATTTTGTATGAAGATTTGTATGAATCGTGTGATGATTTGTGTTGACTGATTTCTGTGTTAGTGAATTGTTACGGCATGTATCCGTAGACCAGCTGTGGGTTTAGGGAGCGTTCAATTAGGGGGAAACATTTTTATGCAGCGGCTTTAATGTTTCCAACTTAATCATTATGTTTTTGCAACTGATTTTTGTAACTGAAAATTTTATTCAATATATGAAGGAAGAGATTATATGATAAACGTATGTTGTTGTACAAGAAATTTTGTGAGGGAAAAAATCTTTGTTCATAGTTGATGAAGTTTTCTGGATGAAATAAACAACATTGTATTCAGAATAGTAAACTGAGTACTCATTGAACGAACGAATATCGTGGCAGATTGTGAGACATTGCTTGTTGATACGGTCAAATTATTACAGGAAGATAGATCTATTTGGAATAATTAGGTTTCCTATGAAATTTTTATAACGATTTATCAAGGAATTTTAAATCTAGGAATTAATCAACCTAGAATTTTCATCAATTTAATACGCTTATCTTAGAAACCCAATAACGAATTTTCACGCACCGAATTCAGTTTTAGTGATGGGAACACAGCTCATGAATATCTTCGAGTCAATTCAGCCGGCCGTCCCTGCGATTAAATCTCAGTTGACTGCCACGTCTTTCATTAGGGCGCTCACCGACTCTCCGGGCGAATCAGATCTGAAAGCTTAATGGCTGAACTTCGGCGAAGAAACTTAGAGAAGATTTTTTCTTTAGCTTACAAGGCTTCTGCAAGGGATTACATAATTAAAGCAAGACGCATAAATTGTACTAAAAATTTAAATTATTCGTTGCATCAAAGAATGTAAATTACATCACCACTGAAAAATTAATGTTAAACTTCTCTAATAGAAATACTTACTAAATTTTTGGCATTCATTCGCGTAATTAACGCATTCTGTTTGACATAATAAAAAATTTCGGGTTTTTGTGCTTGAAAATTTACAAATACAACTTACCTATATATGTTAGACAGCAAAAAAATATCCAAATCTTTCTGAAGAATATTTATGCAAAAACAACATAGTATGGTGTTTTTGTCATCTGTTTTTCTTTTCGAACAGGTTGACGCATTTATTAATAAACCAGTACTATTATACAGTAAGATCTCCCTAACTCTTCAAGAACGTTCGACGACGATTAAATTAGCAGCCAATTTCGACATATATTTCAATTTGGCTCCTATATATCTCACTAACTCTTCAAGAACGTCCGACGACGATTAAATTAGCAGCCAATTTCGTTATGTATTTAATTTTTTTCCCCTATATGACGCTAGCCGCGCGTGCATCACGACGCACACATGAGATTATGTTCTGCAGGCAACGGAATTGAGAAAAAGAGCTCAGCAAACACCATTCAATCTGGCGATGAACTGCGCCGTGTTGACTCGGCCGTCGATGGCGAGATGACTTCACGCACGTTGACGAAGAAAAGGACGTGAAAATCATTCTAAATCCCTGCTTAATTCCGTTGAGCTTGTCACAGCAAACAAGATTTGACGTTAGCGAATGAGAGATATATTAAAGTGAGACATTCAATATAGAAAAAAGTAAATAATGAAAACGTGATATTGTAATTTGTGCTCTGCTTCATTGAAGCACAAATATTCGGCGTGTTACAGCCTAAGATGGCCTAAAATAGAAAATAATAGATGGGATTAATGTATAATACAAAATCTTCACTGGAAGAAGGAAAACGCTGCTTAGTGGACAAAATCAGTATACTGCTCGAGCCTTCGCTGAAGTAAGGGAATTCACTCCCCGGCACCACTATAGGGGAATTAGACTCCTGCGTTTGGTATTTTTTCTTATCCGAGACGAGACGAGACGAGACAACAGGCTCTGTCCCGGTTCGCAATAAAAACCGGGACAATTTTCAGCCCTCCGTAGGAATTCCGGGACGATTCCGAGACGAGACGAGACATCCCGGTTAAAATAGGTACCTTAAAATTTCCCGGAATTTATAGCCATTTTAGCGAGACATAACGAGACGAATCAATTATTGATGTGGTGTAAACTTTGGCTTACCATCATACATTTATACAGAGCTGGGCAGCGATACTTTGAAATGTAGCGGCCGCTACCGCTACATGCTCTAAATGTAGCGTGAGCTACCGCTACAATTGCTTAAATGTAGCGCCGCTACCGCTACCGAAAATGTAGCGGCCGCTACATGTAGCGCGCTACTGCCGACCTCTGGACTAACAACTAACATGTTGACACTAGTAACAGGCTGAAGTTGACAACATTACACCGAAATCTTTCGTGCAGTTTTATTCTGTAATTTATATTATGTATGTATCATGCTGGTTTTTAAATAATATTTAATACTATTAAGTAAAATGTAAAGGCTTTATCTATAAATGTAGCGGTAGCACTGTAGCGGCAAAACCTCGTATCGCTACTTGAATATGGAGCGGGTGCTACCGCTACCGCTACAATTGCTTAAATGTAGCGCCGCTACCGCTACTGAAAATGTAGCGGCCGCTACATGTAGCACGCTACTGCCCACCTCTGCATTTATATAATAACTTGAGACGTATCCTTGTACTATTCTGATTGGAGCTCGGCAATTGAAATGATTTTTGCTACGAATACATGTTGTGGCTTAATATGGTACACCACTATAGGGGAATGCACTCACCGGCACCACTATAGGGGAATGTACTCCCCGGCACCACTATGGGGGAATGCACTCCCCGGCACCACTATAGGGGAATGCACTCCCCGGCACCACTATAGGGGAATGCACTCACCGGCACCACTATAGGGGAATGTACTTCCCGGCACCACTATAGGGGAATGTACCCCCAGCACTATTACAGGGGCAAGATAAGCTCAAGCAGAGGATGAGCTGCAGTGCTATCTCGCTAATGGTTAAGCCTGCACTACAAAGGCGCGCCGCCCAAGGCGCACAGTAAACAAAGGCAGCACACGGAACCTTGGCTTTGAAGGTCTTTAAGATACTCAAGTTCAGGATTCCAATAACTCCTTCATTTGAGTGGGGTTGCGAATGTAATATTTTTTTTAAATTGTGGACTATATAAAAAAATGTTCACAGAGTGTTTAATTTTAGGAAATATTGTTATTGACTGGCCAACATTCTTAGGTAAACTACCATGATTTTATTCAAATAATGAACGTTGTCTAGGAGTCTTAAATTTATTCCAGCTAATATTAAGTCAACAAAAACAGTACCAACATCATAGAGCAGGACTCGACTTTCCTCATCAATCACCGAAGATGTCGAATTAATTTTGTGTTTTTCTAAGGATATTCTGTACTATCTAGCTGAGCTGAAATTACTGAAGGTTTGAGATTTTTTCACTCTTGATGAATGGTTCGTTATGGCAAGAAGTTCGAGCATCGCGACCGATGGCAAAAATTACCTTCGTCAGCCAGCCTAGGAAGAGGCGCGCTTTTTCTTCTATTGCAGCCGTCTCGTCTCGAGTTAGGTCGTCCCTCGCAGGAGTTTTCAGGAGCAGAGACGCTATCAAATCTCGGGAGGTTGTTCAAGCGACAAAAAAATCCTATCTAAAGGACTCGTGTCCAACTCCTCCAGTGGAGTGGCCACTCTAGAGGTCCAGTCGAATGCATGACCTGAGCGTCGTCCCTTCGCTTTATACAAAATCTTTTGAGAGCTTACGTCAAGAGAGAATGAATTTCTTTAGACGAAACTCAAACAGAGATAGTGAAGTTTAGGTATAGGTTGTCTCAAAGAGCTAAAATATCTAAAATCCTCTAACGAATTCATATTTTTAAATGATCTTGAGTAAAGCCGTGTATCCAGAATCATCGTTGGACTCCCCTAATGATAGGTAACAGTAACCAGGTAACCAAGCTCTTTCTATTCTCTAGTTTCCTGATTACCCGACTCGTGTTAATGATTATTAAAGTTATGCTTAAACCGCGAAAATAATTAGAATGCCTTAATTCATCATTAATGTAAGAGTATTGCGGATAATTCCTCTCCAGAAAATTTCGCTCAGTGTAGACTGGATCGAAGCTTTCCAGCCGTCCCGTTAAAGCCCATCGGGCTCAGCGACCCTCAGGCTACTTTTCATCACAGTCGGAATTAGTGATGTCATCGAGTCTATTTTGAAATTGAGATCCAATAAAAAAAGGCGGTCTACGTATAAAATCAGTATGCTCATTGTTAGCTAAGACAGAATTCGTGATATAAGCCCAGCCGAAACCGTTAATTGAACCACATTAAAAGCCAATGATCCCATTCTCTCTAATATTAGTAACTCTATTGTTTTTTTACCAATTTGTTGGTTGTAGCTTATTATTATTTCACTTGATTGAGTAACCTACCTTTCTCTGATCACAATTCCTGATTACAAGCCAGAAACTAATTTCTGGGTCCGGTTCTCTAAATCGTAGTCGGGCCGTTCCGCTAGTGATCTTTTCATCGATGTACGCTCAAAAAAGCGAATGGATTATAGTGTCAAAATAAAGACGAAATCTCCACTCGTAGCACTGATGCGCCCTTTTTTTCTAGCAAAACGGGATCAGAAAAACCCACACAAGGGCAAGAAGTGCATCACTATTCGGACAATGAGTAACACGTTTTTCTTAGTGTAGAATGCAATATTGTTAAAAAAACTATAGTCAAATTACTTGCACTACTCCGAGAAAAATTCACAAGCAAAAGTAATCGTCCAACTCGATTTTTCCGTTTAAAAATTCGGAGAACGGTAACATCTAGACGCTATAGAACAGCAAAACGTTTTGTGAAAAACTTTTCTATATTCAATCAGTTTAATTAAAAGATATAACAATTTTTCACACGCATGCAAAACAAAACGTGCAAATACCTGGTATTGATTATAAAGCAAGAAGGTATTACTTGCAATCTCTGATGACCTGACAACTTTTATTTTAAAAATTATTTAAATTTCTACTGCATTGCATTCCACCTTAACTCACGAGGTTTGAAACGAAAGAGTCTACTTGCGTTGTTGAAAGACTGTCATTTCATGTACGTATATTTTTTCACAGTAAAAACATTGCATTTGTCTCAGGTGTGCTCAGTGTTCGTGGCGTCCATGTACTGCTGCTTGCTCTACCAGCTCTCCTACGTGCGAAAAGACCTCGCTGAACTGTACTACGGTCAGTCTCAATTTAATGCCACCTCGCTTAATGTATTCCATTGATTTTACTATATATTCCATTTATTTTACTATATATTTCATTTATTTTACTATATATTTATAAATTCCATTTATTTTACTATATATTCCATTTATTTTACTATATATTCCATTTATTTTACTATATATTTCATTTATTTTACTATATATTATTCATGTGTACTTGAACCCTTCAGAGATTTATTGAGGGGTTCAAGAAACCATATCATTATTGAACCCCTCAAAGATTTTCTGCTTCGATTTTTTTTATTTATGTCAATTGAACTTATAACCGAGTGGAAAATACATGGTTAAGCTTCAAACTCCGTGTTTACAGCTTTTTTCCGACACTTAGTTGAAATAATAATAAAGCAAGAGCGACACAGTCATATCCCGATAGTTCATCATTATATATATCTAGGTTAGGTGTACTAATAAGAGATGTTGCGGTTATCTGCTACAGGAGTTCAGATTTCGTACCTGGCCGTGCTGAGCACACAGCTCTCCCTCTTCAGTCTCAGCGTGCTGCTATATACTGCTGTGCTGCAGGTATTCTTACATCACCTATGCATGATTAATAATTATTATCTAATTTCTACGTTTAATTCCAAAAATATCGTTCAAAGGATGAATATATTTTAAGAAACCTCTTAATATAACTAGCAAATACATGCAGTATTTTGTTTGGTGGGATGGTAGTGCGAAGAGAAGTTAAAATCTCTCATGGCTTCCCATAAAAAAATTTAATAAAAATAACAGAATTTAGAGCCAACAGAACAGCGGCCGGACCATAGAATATCTATCATATTAAAACTGCAAGCGTGCTGAGGCTTCACCAAAATGTTCACCCGACGAAACGTTACATCGAAAACCCTTCATGAACTTTCGTATAAATGGTGCGTTTAATTGGCTTCTCACAGAGCGAGCATAAAGCCTTTTACCGGTTTGTAGGAATGCGATATTTTGCATAGGATGAAAGGATTTGAGCCTAGGTCATTAATTTTTCTAAGTATTTGTTATTGGTTTTGTTTTTGGTTTGAAAATAAAATCAAAGTTGAAGTCAAGTTCACATGTTGATGCTGTAGGAAATACGGAGCTGGGAGGCTATATATACGTACCTTTCAATGATCGAGTATGTACAATTGCGTTGTGCGTGTCCTAACGTCCTGTTTTATCTCTAACGAATTAATAAAGCCTGGAAAATGCTCAAAATTCGACATCAGAAAACTCAAAACGAAGGAATAAAAAAATATATTTTTTTAAATTGGGATAATCAACTATAATTCAATCGGTACTAATCATCAAAAAGTTTTTTTTTATTCAATCAATACCATTATGGTTGTCGTTACAGGAGCGAATAGGATGGGTGGGGCTGTGGATGGTTGGAGTGGTGGCCCTGACTCCGCTCGAGGGCGTGTGTACGATGTACTCCAATATCCTCAGGGACCACGTCAACAAGGTGCATAATGTCTAGTACATGATGAAAAATTACTACAGATTTGAAGAAGCTCGGCCATGAAGACAAATGTCCTTAATAATGAATAACCTCAAATGATTCAATAAGGTTCAAGTTGCTAAAGAATGTGGATGAGCTATTTATACTTAATTCTAGACTCGCATCGACAAAATGCTGAAGTTTTGATGGAGGCCAAATGTGCTTAAATAAATATTTAATTTAATCCACGCTCAATTGATCTTAAACTATATCCTCCAATTGCATACTACAATAACCTTGCACTTCTATGTTGTTCCTGTGCAGAAATTTGACGTCCAAAGTAAAGTCGAGATGGGAGTCTTCATCATACGCTTGATAGCCAACGTGAGTATACTTTGTTATAGAACTCAGCAATAGGCAAGGGTAAATCCCTATTGATGGAAATGTCGCAACCGAAAGTAATTTCACCTTCGAGTTAAATTTCGATGATGAAAAATTTAGCTATATAGCGGGTAGTGTCGCTGTGTCGATTGCGCAGGGGTAATGCAGTATTATACTGTATGAGAAAACCGTGAAATAACGGTCTTCTCGGCGTTCTAGTGACCGGTCGCCCCGTGAAAATAAACCGTTTCACCGTTTCAGATGTGCGGTTTCTAGTGTTACACTGGAATAAAAACGGACACATGATGTTTATTATCACGTACAGGCTGGTCACTGAAGCGGCGGTAACACAGTTTATCAGTGATTTTTCGAACAATGTAGCGAATAATGTTGTTGCATAGGGAAATGCCGGTTTGAAGGAAATATTGGGTTTACTTATTCATGGATTTTTTTCTAATCTGGAAGTCAATATATAAATACTTGAAAAATGTAAGAAACAAATTTAATACAAAGTATTATGACAAAATTTCAGTTGCCAGTGAAGGAAGAAATTGGATTAGTTATCAACTAAATAAGAAGTAATTCGTTTACATAAATACGGTAAATTAAGCACGAGCTCCGATACAAAGTGTGCCAGAAACTTTATTCAAGTCATAAATCCTTATTTTCAGACGACAAGCCTCATAAATCTCTAGCTTATTGTCCTTATGATGTTGTTTATCGCTCCGGTTCCGGAGTTTGAGCCGCTATAGCCTGAGTCGAAACGTCCACTTCAAGTGCTTAAACCTCAACAGAAGCAGTTAGACGTTAAACGAACTGCAGCAAGTATTGTTATAAGTTCAACTCCTGTTCAAGCTTAGCCTAAGCCAGGCCATCAAGAACTTCCATGTCGTTGTGAGGGATAAGCTCGAGAATAGTGAGAGCAGAACGCTATTCGTTAAGTTTATTGAGGAGCAGGAATAATGCATTAGTAACTGAACTCATTCCAAATTTTAAAGGCACTATAATTAAAGTTATTAAAAAAATAGGGCGTCAAAAACACTGGAATATAAAAAGTTTAGTTAAAATTTTGGATAATTGACTTTTTAATACTAGAGAAAGAAACCAAAACTACATATCATCAAATTGCCTTTGGTACGAAAGCTAAATTTTGCTAACTTATAGTCATGGGGTCAAATGCTAGACATTCAATACTAAAAAAGATATATAACATACGAATTCAAAAATTCTAGTCATGCTCTCGCAGACTTTAATTATGAAAGGGAAACCTGCACGGATCGGAAAAACTTTGGTACCACAACCCCGCAATATAATGTCCGTGAACTGCAGACACGTGTTTTGGTGGCAAGATCTGTCCGGAGATTACGCGAGCGTCAGTCCTGCTAGCCAGATTTGACCGGAGCTCTGGGTTAATTACAAGTTTGTTGCGTCCGGATGTCAACGTAGAGAAAAGACTTGCGGCTGATCCATTAGGAGTTATTTCTGAACATAACGTAACAAGTTCAACAATATTTTGCGTAGACAATGTTTAGACCGCTAGAAACGAAAACAGACAGATAATAGGTAGAAATTATAATTTAAAAATTATGGAAGCTAATATACTTGACGGTAAAAATATCCATTAAAAAATAATCGAAATTTTAAGAAGTATATGATCAAAAATGAATCATGTGTCACAGATTTTTAATTCCTGATACTGATCTAATTGCGACTGTAATATTTCGGTAAGGTGACTCAACGTTGTGGAACCTAAACTAAAGTTAATAACACTGCTGGACGAATTTTCTTTCAGAACATAGAAGTTATTGAATATAAATTAAATTAAATGCAAACGTACGTTGTTAGCTGGAGCCCAGCAAATACCATAAGAACAGGAAAGACGGTTTAGGCCAGCTTGCAGAACTTGAGCAGTAAACAAACCCTTGCAACTTCAAGTTAGTCAAGAAGTTACCCGACGCACAAGTGGAATCCGGCGCTAAGAACCAAACACTTTATGGAATTGTAAAGTTTCTGGAGGGGCCCGAAAACATCATTGCGTGAGCGGCTCGACAATATCCTGGCAGAATAAACTTTGTGCCATTTTGTTGTTGAAAATTACAGATTGAACTTCAAAATCTTGGGACTTGCAGCTGGCCTACGCGAGGAGTTATGACAGATGGCATTAAGGATTGGGTAAACTTTTTAAAGATAGCATAAGAATAGGAAAGATTTACTTTAATCGATCAAATCATTTTATGCTCCTATTCATGAATGCATTTTGCTCCAATTCAGGGGTATGTACTTCTGCAATTATTAACATTGCGCACATGCCGCATACATCCAGGGGTTCTAATATGTATAAAAGTAATACTACTTCCACGTGGTCATGAACTGAAATGGTTATGGCAGCTGTTAACAATCGACCATTATCAATACTCAATAGTCTACTGCACTTTCTGATTGTGCGGTAACTCATAGGGCTATGAGAGATCAAGGCTATAATGCAGATCAGAAGAATGAAAATAGTGAACCATTCTTATTAATTAAAGTAAAGCCAATCAACTTGAAAATTAACAATGCTAATTTCAATATAAACATGTAACTATATTAATTAGTCACCTATTTTAAATTAAGAGTATTATTTAACAATGTTAAAAAATAATTCATAACCTCTTGAAGATTTTTTTCCCCGTTAGATCCCATGCAAGAACGATTGCACCATTAAAATTTACATCCGCTAATATCGATGATTTTAAAAATATATATGAATATTTGAATCATTTTCCCCGGCGATCATGTTTCTTTCGTTTGTGAAAAAGACCTTTCTAGAAATGAGGCGACTTGGAGAAAATAAATCCCTGGATCTCAATCTCCTGGAGTCACAATTGCAAGAACGAGCCTGAGAACGAGCTCATCTTCACTTCACCATCGACAGCGTGGCCATTCCCTGAGATGTGGAGGTGTCTGATGGAGCAATTCTCAATAAAAAAGTCAAGAACATTCTCCTGACGGCACAAGTTACCAACTCTATCTTCAATTCATCGAGAGATGTTGTCATTAAGATGAAAAGTTACAAGGACTTTTGATAAAACTTTAGGGTCGTAAGGAGCGGCCTAGCGCCTCAATAGTTCTGTTAGGACGCTAAAATGGCAGCTCTCACAGCTTCCATTTCAAGTCTTGCAGAAGCGGGGAACATATAAAAAACGTAATTTCGAGAGCTGCTAGGGAACATTCAAACCAGACCTGTTTGCTGAGAGCGACACTCAATGCGCAATTTCGGGTCCCGACCGCGACTAGTGAAAGACTTCGCATCGCAAGACGCTTCCTTTTATGGAACAGAAGAAATGACTACAGCTGAAAAGCAATAGTACCAAACCAGTCATGTACGCATTTACGAAGATTTGTTCTCTTGTCTCTCAAGAAAATTTTAGGGAGAGACAGGAGCAATTTTTTAATCATAAGCAAGGTTTTGGAACAAGGTTTATTCCGTCGCAACGTACATGTATCTAAACGCAGTGTAACTTACCCCACTACAACACCTGTACGAACGCTAATCAGCAAAGAAGTTTGATTTATCATGGCGTAGAATCTTTTACACTTCTTAATCATTATAATAGTTAAAAAACGATTTACTGATGATCTTTATGTGTCGCAGGTGCTTGGCGTGGGCGGAGTGTTCAGATTCTATCGCAGTCTGCAGTCTGGCCAGTCGTACCTTCCTAGTGATCAGTTCAGCCTCTAGACACCCTCTTATCAAGAGACACGCGACGCTATAGATAGAATCATGAAGGAAATACGATCTAGCATGAATACAGGGCAGCAAGTGTTTGTTAAGAGTGTCATCGGTATTTTTATAGGTTCTAGATATTTTATTTAAACATTTTCCCCTTGATAGATATATAATAACAAATGCGCAATTCTACAAAAATATAGATTTAAAATAGAAAACCATCATATCGGATGATTTATACACACATCTTCTAAAGTTTTTTAATGAAAAAAAGTAACAGGGTAAATTCTATAAATTTAGGTAACTTGAAATGTCACGAAGTGAAATAATATACGAGTGTTGTTATACCTTATATAATGTCGTATCTTTGCATTGACAAACTATCACATTTAACAACTCATTATCTCGCGACAATCCATCTAAATATTTTAAATTAATTCAGCACAGAGTATGGCTAATAATCATGAAACAAGTGACGTTGTAAATAGTGAAGTATCATTGATGGTGGGTGGTGTTTTTGTTACATGCATATTGAGCCGTAATGTTAAAGTTTGGATGAATGTCGTGGTGTTAGGAAGTAGAACATTAACATATGATGAATTCCATGAAGTCCCAATAACTCTGAGTTATTAGTATCCCACCTCAGTACCCACAATGCAGATTTCGTATCGAACCTGTATCTTATTCTGATAAAAACACTTATAAATCAATTATGTTTCTAGGTCACAAAATGTGAACAATATAGACCGTTAATTTGATGGAATCTCCTAGTTTTACAAAGCTTTTCCTTCATAACCAAATAGTTAGAACTAATATTGTAGTTCTAATAGTTCTGTCAATATAAAGTCAAAATCTCTAACTTTAAATATTATTATGTAAATCTGAGACTATGATGAAAAAATATACACCCTAAATATGCTATTAAAATTGTTACTATATGGGCGTCTACCCAATAATGTTTGCACCGAATGAAGGTAACGACGGGCCCATGATGTGATATGAATATTATATAAATTAGGCACTAAATCTGATTGGAAAATACGAAATTTTCACTATTTATGAAATTTTAGACACTTATTTGCCCTTAGAACCTATAAATACGCAGGAGAACATTCCATTTTTATACACGTTTCTTCTTTTAAAAGCTCGCGTATACTTCACCTGCTAGTCAACTCCATAAAATTAATAAATTCAAAAAATGACACTCGAGGAGATAACAAGGCACTTGGTGTAAGCAAAACATAAGACTAGAGTTTAAAAAATAGTTATGTATAAATTTTATTGATACACCGTTAGAAAATGCTTCTGAATGTGAGATTTAAATGCAATTTCGATTTTTTTTTTCATTTGAGCATGAAAAAGAAAATTTTATACCTATGATTTCATTTAACGATACTTCTAGTTTCGAAAAATATATGTGATTTTATAAGCGTTTCTTTTTCCAAGTGCTTCGGCAAAACCTTGCATGGGGCCGGAAAATTCATCAACAGATGATCTTTAATTCCGTAATAGAAACATATTGATTATATTTCAATCAACTAACCAGATTATTGCATTTCCATACAGTATATCGATTCAATTTCTTTTACAGTACGAACAACTTCATGCTGGGAGCTGGCAACCGGAAATTCGTTTCATTGATCAATCAGGAGCTTCTCTAATATCAAAACTGCTCTGAATTCACTGAGAAGATTATTTCCTGATCCTGCGAAGGCTAGAATTTCTCGGGATCTCATTTCAGGGCTAGCGTAACTCCTCAAAAATTCTCTCGCATTAACGAAATTGACCAACACAAGCCGATCTAATTAGCAGCAGTGGCTCGGGGCGAGAAATTCGAGCATCGGCGCGCGCTGCGCTTCGTTAGATGCTGGGCGCGGCAGCGGCTTTGATGTAGGCAGACTCGGCCCTGCGCGTGAGCCCGGCGTAAATATTGGCCGAGTTTCTTTCAGCAGGAAATGCAGAAGAGACGTGGCAGGCTTTGAGCCGTGACAGCGAGTGGAGCTGTTAATTAAGAGTAACTGCTCGGTCATGGGATATGCATAAATGACCGTGAAGTATGCAAGGATAAATCACCTTGGGTGTGATGTGTTAGTGTAACTGATGGGCTTGATGGGCTTGTTTTTGAAAATAAATTGGATTGATTTCCTCTCAGAATAGACGGATATTTGTCACAGATTTAGTTGGTTATTGACATCGAGGGGTTTGATGGTGTTTTGTCACGGAAAAGTTTCAAGGGTTGTGGCCTTTTCGTTTGCGGACCAAGTTTGCTATGTCGACCAAGGATGAAGTAAGGCTCAAGAAAATAAAATAATTATTTAATGATTTTGAATTTATCTTTACTGAGAACGGATTCTGAATCCATGTCCATTGCGAAATTGCAAATAAAATTTATTTTTAATGGTGAAGAGTATTTTAATGATTCAAAAGCTGAGAGTCGTCGGTTGAATTTTTTGAGACGTTATATTCTCTGCGTAAAGTAGGGCTCGATTATATGAGATCAGTATTCCGTGTAAAAAAACGATAGAATTGTATGATAATTTGGTCTCCATAGAACATTCAAACAAATTATTGATACAAATTCCCTCCTTATCATTTACAATTCAGGTATATAACAATTTTTAACGATAACCCATTTGTTGGACTGGTGGTCGCGTCTTTTCATTTCCCTCTCAGCGCCCCAACGGTATATAGCATCAGTCAGGGCTTCCATAGAATTCATTGTTCTTTGTTTGCTAAGACATCGAAAGGAGCGATATTTTACCAAGCTGCCATAAGCTCTTGAAATCAATTGCCTCTTTGTTGCTTCGACAACACTTTAAATTTTAGTTTATTACAGTAACATGGAAGCTTGAAAGGTTCATTCGTGTTGACGATTGCATCACAACACTGGCGGCTCATATATTGATGTTCAATTTGAGTAATTTGGGCAATTTATAATAATACAGACATATTATTGGCCTGCTAATTATCAATTCGAATATAAAATTGGACTAAGATTCGCACAAAGGTGACAAAACTCCTGGTCTGATCGAAGTTTGCTAAAAAACATTGATTGCGCAGTCCTGTTTCAATATCTGTTTTTATGTGTTACTGTTTGGTAAATGCTAGATTTCATTTGCACTCATTTGCACTCCAGTGAAATGCTGTGAGCAAAAACAACTTTCTAGGTCTTTTTGTGACCGACGCAATAATTGTTACGGATGTAAAAAGCGAAAAGTTTTTTTGCATAATGACGTCGCTAACCAGAGAGAAAGTTAATGTATATATATTGCTGATATTCAAGTAAGCCTCTACCTATAATACACGCTGTCATTTAACGATTACGATAAATCATTATTGAGGATTCAAAATGATTATAACAATAATTTTATACGAACAATAACATGCATGTTCGATTGATTTTTAAAAAATTTTCACTCTGCTCCCAGCAAACGAAGTTCACCACATAAACTTTTCCGCAATTAAATTTGATATTCAAAACAAAAGTTATCATATTCACTTTTTTCATCTTTAAAAAACATTGAATAAGAAAACTTGATACCCCGAGCCAAGGCTCTGATTACAAAGCACGCACATCGCTCGGCAAACTTCGCCCCGCGTTAGCATTTGCTGCACGTGTTGCAGTCAGCCGAGGTAATTTGGGCGTTGTTGCTTAAATTTATGGCGTCTTTGCAAACTGCCAAATAAATCTTGATCACCGAGAGGCCTGGCAAACGAGCGTCTGTTGGAGTGCGAGCCTGACGCAGGCTGGCAGGTCTCGGCTTAACCTGCAGGCTGGCAGGTCTCGGCCCACCTGCAGGCTGGCGCAGGTCTCGGCCCACCTGCAGGCAGGCAGGTCTCGGCCCACCTGAAGGCTGGCAGGTCTCGGCCCACCTGCAGGCTGGCAGGTCTCGGCCCACCTGCAGGCTGGCAGGTCTCGGCCCACCTGCAGGCTGGCAGGTCTCGGCCCACCTGCAGGCTGGTAGGTAGGCCTATACAGGTGCTAGAAGACCTTCCCTGAGGTTTTTGAGCTTCAAGTAGGCAGGTAAGGCTCGCAAATTTTATTGAATATTATCATAGTTTTCTCACTATCGACAAAGCTGCAGGTGAACAAGACTTTTTAACGGCCTTGCGGCAGTTGTATTAGATTTAAAGTTGGCTTGCGCTCATAACTGACTGAGATCTCGGCGCTACCGTGGAGTTAAAGCACATTCAAAGGTTTAAAATACCCGTGATTAAACCCCACTTTGTGGCGGCAGCTGTGAACTCAAACCACTTATGAACCTCTGATCAGAGCTCTGAAGGTATTACGATGGCCGTCAAATTTAAGGATATTTCCGTACCGCATTGCATTTGTGTTCATATTATCATTATTCGGTTATTATTCCGCTTTTCTTTATCATGCTTGGCACAGGCATCACTCAAATGAATATTCAATGGACCCACAGTCACATTAACAATAGTGATACCACGAGGCGCATAATAATTAAGGAGGCGGGGCGCCTGATTATGATCAGTAGCGTCAGTCCAGTAGCCCAATGTAGCAAGTTAGGAAGCATTAAAGCCTGGGCGCTGAGTTTAAGGTTTAGGCTCCAGAGCCGGCGAGTGTCGCAAGGCTGTGATGTGTGCAAGTTACACGGCATTAGGCACATCACAAGGCCGAGCTAATGCCTCATCATCTCTATTCATGGTCGGTATTACGCACAGAATCATCGAGCATTAACATATAAACGTGAGGTATGCATGCATCAGGCATCACATAACACGACTGGGGCATCAAACGAGCATCATGCCACAGCTTAACTGGCCACATGCATAGCCATGAAAGCTGTAGTTTGAGACACATAATGTCGACATAATGTCGTAGTCATTACACATAATGTCGTTCATCTCCAGCTCCATCAGCCTGAACCATGAAATGAAGAACATTCAAAATAGCGTTCGCTTCTAAAATCATTTCTCGTCCGAAACAAAAAATTAATTTAGTTATGACATACGCTTCACATAAAATAGTTTGACCAATAATTTATAAATTTCGTTTATTTATTGTTAACATAAGACAAACTGTAACCGCCAGCGTGACAACTGCGTTGGAGATTCAAGATCTTATTTCCCTTTAAGCATGAGGTAAAGTAAACGAAATGTAAGAAAAAAATAATTAGGAAAACAATAGCCTGCGTAAAATTAGAATTTTACCGAAATCAAGAGTTCATATTGCACAGCATGTGAACGAAATCTAAACAGTTTGAACAGCACGTTATATGAAATCGCAAGAAATTTATGACACTAGCAATTTCGTGGTGCTAAATTGATAATTTACACATCGTTGTAAATCCATGCAGTTTATTCAAGTAGATTTTCTTAAATTTAAAAATGATTGCTGAAAATTTTACACTACTATTCAAATTTATCAATGGCAAAAAATCGATAAATTTCGTGTTTTGCGAAACGTGGTTTATAATACTTGGTGGCGATACTATAGATCAATTAGATGCATGAATGAAAGAGTTGCTATATAATTACATGAATAGTTGGAATTGATACAATAAACCGAATTTATATATTACGTAAGCTTTGTGTTGGGTTGTAGTGTACATAATAATAACAGAGAAGACGTCAGTGTCACGGAGACTGACAGCGTTACCCCGACCCTGCGAGCCTGATCGATGCGCGGTGCGACATATTGCGGGGTGCGACATATTGCGGGGTGCGACATATTGCGGGGTGCGACATATTGCGGGGTGCGACATATTGCGGGGTACGACATATTGCGGGGTGCGACATACTGCGGGGTACGACATATTGCGGGGTACGACATATTGCGGGGTACGACATATTGCGGGGTGCGACATATTGCGGGGTACGACATATTGCGGGGTACGACATATTGCGGGGTGCGGAATATTGCGGGGTACGACATATTGCGGGGTGCGACATATTGCGGGGTGCGACATATTGCGGGGTGCGACATATTACGGAGTATGACATATTGCGGGGTGCGACATATTGCGGGGTACGACATATTACGGGGTGCGACATATTGCGGGCTTTGAAAGTAGATATTTTTACCAACTGGTCCAGACAGGTTGACAGTCAGCAGGAGTGATACATAAACCGATACATATAAATATTAATGTATATACATATAGCATCTCAAAACTCGGAACTAGACTTTTCGTGCATAACGTAGGCCATATTTTCGAACTGAGCAAGTGGCCTGGCAGAATTTTCTAGAAATTTCTGGTTAAAACTATAGCTTTATTTATGTCTCTATCATCGGCGCCTGCTACGCGAATTTGGAAGCT